TGAAAGCACCAACGAAAACGGCGAACAAGTTGGTGGCAGTCAAGGATCTATTACGTTTGCTTACGGAGTCAGGCATCGTAGCTGGTGTGTTCGACGCAGAGGATATCTTCGAGCTAGACCTGGATCTCATAGTATCCGCGACGCGGGACCTCTTTGCCAGAGTTAAGTCCATCACCGGAGAAAGGTCGCGCACTATGGATCCAGTGTCGTCGCCGAGGATCAGCCAAGCTGCGTCCTCGAACTACGAATCCGCCGCTAAGGATGAGTCAGACACGTCGTCCGAACCACGACGCATGACTTTAGGACCCTCCGGGGCATCCATGCTGGAAGCGCGAGCGAGGATCCGAGGACAGGAAGTCCCTGTGAACGTGAAAGCTCGGGATCCAGTACGCCCTACGCGTGATCTGACACAATCCAGCCAGGATCGAGCCAGATCCGGCAAGAAGCCAGTGGGATTATCGTCAGATCAGGCTCGAGGTAATCGCCTCACGGATCCAGTCCCGCCAGTGGACCAGACGGCCACAGGCTCTTCCGACACTTCCTCGAACACCCTGCAGCGGCACTTTGAAGCTGCGATGAATCGCTTCCTGGCCGAACAGGGTATGAGAGCGCCCGTGCCACAAGTGCAAGTGCTCCACGAACATGGAGCACGGGACGAGGAGATGGAGTCAGTAGAGGGGGACAACTCCCATGATGAGTTCGACCCAGACGATCTGGATGGCCCATCCACTTCGGCAGCCGTGGTAGCAACGGTCACAGCCGGGGCAGGTGCATCGTCCATGATCCAGAGGGTACGGATCTCAGCCATATCGGACTTGAAGGAGTTCACGGGCAAGGATCAAGATGAGGACCGAGCGAGAACATGGATCAGCAAAGTCAAGTCGGCCCTCATGAGAGATCAAGCGTCGGATGCTGAGAAGTGTCTGACCTTTGCGGATCTGCTAGCAGGGCCAGCCAGGAACTGGTATCGGCAGCTGGGCAGATCAACCAGGAACAAGTGGCCAGATTTGCTGCGCAGTTTCAGACCCAGTACTGTGGATTAGGAGTGTCGGTGGCACGACAATACTACCATGCTCGCCGCAGATCGGATGAATCCCCGTTGGAATACCTACATCGACTAAATGTGGCCGGTCTACGGGCCAAGTTGAAGATCAAGGATGGGGGATCCAAGGTACTGCGGGAACACGTGGATCATTTCATCGAGACGTTGGGAGATGTGGATCTGGCCGACAGGCTGACCCTGCTACGACTTCCCGACGCAGACGAGCTTGAAGAAGTACTGCGGGCGGTGGATCGCGCGAAACACCGCCAGAAGAAGGCGGCGGTCGGGTCCGGCAAGTATCGCCAAAAGGCTCCAACGCCTACGGCCCCAGCTCGACGTGTCCACCAAGTCACGGCGCCCGACTCAGGAACTGAGTCAGGATCCGACGGCTCGGACTCCGACCCTGAAGATTACCGTCGAGTCTGTCTCACTGCGTCCAACGATCGAACGGCGAAGACAGGAGACAACTCTCGACCGGGGGATACCGTACCCGGGGACCGTGGGATGTACAGATCCCGAGATCTCATGGACGGGGCAGCACAAGTCAGGTGTTCGCAGTGCGGATCCCGGAAGCACACTGAATCTGGATGCTGGAAACATCTAGTCTGTGAGAAGTGTGGCAAGAAAGGTCATCCCGGGGATCATTGCTTCTACGTGTGTCGCGGGTGTGGCGAGATTCACGACGTCGGCAAGTGCCCGATGGAAGAATTCTACAACCAGATCCGCCAATGGTTTGATCCAGCCAAGCACCGAGGGATGTTGCCGGAAGTGGCAGAGAAGATGTTAAACTAGGACGCTCGCCGGGTTTGAATCCGGTACGAGCCGAGCGTTCTAGGTACTGCATTTATGCATTTGTGAACAAGACATCGCTAGATCCAGGTAGCAGGACCCTAGATCCAGTCGATAATACACGTGATCTACATGAAGTGTCAGTTGCCAGGATCTCTAGTTTGCGCCAAGTGGACGAGTTTTCCAGATCCAAAGTCTCCTCAACCCTGGATCTACAAAGAGGAGAGACACGTGGTTACTGGGAGAAACGCCAACATGGTCGATGGTTTGAGCCTACCAAGGGTGAGGTCACTGCAGATCCACCTAAGGTCTGTCTGGTCACTGGATCCTGTGGATCTGAGGATGTTGGGTCCATGGATCTGCTAACAGGGGAGTCCCGTGGATACTGGAAGTACCATGCCCCAGGAAAGTGGTTCAGACAAGCCAAGGTAGGGGGCAAGATCAACAATGAAAAAGCAATCCTACTTCTAGATAGTGGTGCCGAGGTGTCTATACTGGATACCGCCTTTGCTCGTAAGGTTGGGTGCCAAGTGGATGGGAGTCGACTCCAAGATTGTGTTGGGATTGGAGAAGGCGTATACCGTACAAACGGGAGAACGCGAATTAAGATCACGCTGGCAGGTTGTTTGGTGTATTGGTTTGACATTTGGGTCGGGGATCTCGCTGGTCAAGACGCCATCCTTGGGATGGATTTCATGGTCCAAATAATAATAAAATTAATAAAATAGTTGTTAAAAAAAATTCAGGAATAATAATTTCAAAATTATTATTGAAAATTTCTTGAAAAATCATAATGTGATAAAAGAAATAAATATTTTTAAAATATTTACTTACTATATATGCTATATATTTATATAAAAATTAATTTATAAATA